AAAATATTAGAAAAAATATAAAATATAATATAGAGCTAAAAATAAATATATACTAATATAGAAAAAAAAAGTAAATTTTATTACAATATCAAAAAAATTGTTAGATAAGATTGGGCTAAAAATTGATGATAAAGCAGTAACTATAGTTGTAATAGCTACAGATGCAAAAGCTAAGACATTAGAAAAAGTTAAAGGTGTTCAAATTGCATTACAAGATGTTGTAATGCTAATTTCCTTATAGGTGATTAAATTATCTGAAGATATACTATTACTAGGAACTAACTAATTCTAGAAGGCAAATGCTTGAATTTACTTTGATAAACAAAAACTATATATACAATATACAAAAAAAGTTGCAAAGGTTTCAATATTCAATGCATAAGTTGAAAATCTTGTCACTTTTTAAGAAGATGATTACAATAATGAGGATAGTAATACTTTTGATAAATTTAATTATAAGGAAGAAGAAGAAATAAGGAAGATAAAGGAGTGCTTTCTTGAAGAATGACTTGCAAGTTATAAAAAACCCTACTCTCTATCTCACTAATATAGAAGAAATACCAGTACAAGATAATAGCAATGAGAAAAAAACCCTTGAAGAACTGATACTAGAATCAATCAACAAGCATGATCTAGAGTTAATACAATAACAACAAGCATAAGACTTGTTGGTATTAGAGAAGAATATATTTGAATTAGGTCTTAAAGATCTAGAATGTACTAACATTATTACTTATATTATTAATACAGATAATGCAGCTTTTATAAAACAAAAACTATATAAGATTATATATAAAGAAAATAAATTTGTAAAACAAGAAATTATTAAATTAAAGAAGAAGAAACTAATTAGAGATGTGTATAGCTTCTAAGCATTATTAATAGTAGTAGTTTCAAAAAAAATGAGTAATTGAGGCTATGTATGAACTATTGCAAGTTAAATGTGATTACAAAAAAAAATACTTATTTTCTTTTCTATATAAATAATTTTCTTGAACATTTAGCAAAGCAAAGTGGTTTTCTACTCTAGATTTGATAAGTGTTATTGGCAGATAGGTGTTAAAAAAAAATATAAAGAAAAACAATCTTTATTACAAAATATAATACATATAAATTCAATATGATGCTATTTGGGCTTTGTAATGCTTTAGAAATATCTTAGAGATTAATAAACAAAGTACTTTATAATTGTATTAGACAATATGTCATCATCTATCTCAATAATATAAATATTTATTTAAAATTATTCAATAATTATATAAAACACTTAAAAATTGTTTTTAATAAATTAAAAAATGCAGGTCTAAAATTATATTTAAAAAAATGTAATTTTTTTTGTTCTGAATTACATTATCTAAGATATAAAATTAATAAAAAAGGTGTGAGACCAGATGAATTAAAAGTTGAAAAAGTTAAAAATTTCCTCACTCTAACAAACCTAAAACAGTTAAGAGAATTCATTGAATAGTCTCTTATTATTGCCAATTTATAAAAAAGTTCATAAAAATAGCTAAACTTCTAAATAAGTTACTAAAAAAGAATATATCATTTAAGTGAGAAAAAAAACAACAATACACATTTGAGATACTAAAGGAACATCTTATGATGCCTTCTATTCTAAGATATTTTGACTTTAAAGAAAAGTTTTATCTTCATACTAATACTTTTAGCACAGAACTAAAAGTAGTATTAGCACAAAAAAACAAAAACAATAAAGAATATATAGTCACATATGCAAGTAAAAAATTTTTAAAATCTGAACAAAACTATTTAATACCAAACTAGAATGTTTAGCAGTAGTCTAGACAGTAAATATTTTTATTATTATCTAGTCACTAAACACTTTATTCTTATTACTGATCATATAGCTCTAAAATGATTATATATGGTAAAACTTAAAGAAAAAAGAGTCTAGTAGATACTAAAATTACAGCTATAGGATTATATAGTAATACACAGAACAGAATGAAAATATTTAAATATAGATGTATTATTAAGAATGTATCTATTAAAAAAAGATCACAATCAAAATTTGTTGTAATAATTATTTTATAAAAAAAAAATAAATAAAAAATTTTTTATTTTTTTTAAAAAAAATTAGTAATTCAATTAAAATTTGGAAGTTATATATTAATAACAAATTATGAAATTCCTAATGATAAAATATATACAAATAGCCTGGTTTTATAAAATAGTAAACATTATGCATGATTAGATAAAAGTGCTCTGCCTGTAAGTCATGTTAATGGCCTAGTACTGGCAAATTAATAAGTGCTATAAATAAGTACTGTGCAAAAAAGGTTGAATGCTTTGTCCACAATATGTCTTTATTGCTTTATATAAACAAAGCTAATAGATACTGAGTAAAATAATAAAATTAATCTCTAGTATAAAAATAATTTTTTTTAGTTAATCCTGTTAGTGAACTGAAAATTTCAAAAACTATATTGTTTAAATTCTTTAATACAATACAAATATTGACATCAATAAGTTTTTTTTAAAAAAAAAAGGTTAAAAGAATTGTATGATCTTAGAAGAATCATATAAAGCAGAAAAAAAATAATAATAATAATAAAATCTAACATCAAATTTAATTTGTTCAGATAATTAGTGTTCTAACAAAACATTTCCAAAATGAAATCACTAAAATATCAACAATTTAAAACTTAATATAACAAACACTCTTGCAGACTTTTACACAGCAACAATGATAAAGTCTACAAATACAAAGCAAAATTTTTATCATTAAAAGAGGCTTAATCTATAAAAAAGATAAATACCAAGTTAATTAATTACTCAGAATTATTCAAAGTTATGAAGTTGAACTAATTTTATTTTTAACTTACACACATCCTTTAGGAGGTTATTTTGGAACAAAAATTGGTTCAATAAATTCATAATAAATATTATTGACCACAGATGTATATGGATATAAAAAATTATATTTGCACTTGTGATGCATGCCAAAGATAAGGTAAAAATTTAGTAAAACTTCTATTTCATCTAATTCCAGTTGGAAGTACTATTTTACAAAATTGGAATTGACATTGTAGAAAAGTTATCTATAACCTTAAGAAATAACTGATACATAGTAGTTGCAACAGACTACATAACTAAGTGACTAAAAAAATGAGTATTAAAAAATATTAATATATAAGAAGTAACAAATTTTGGATACAAAAAAATTGTATATCAATATAGTTGTCTTCAATATTTATTATTAGACAGAAGAATACATTTTTGAAATGCTTTTATAGATGAATTTCTCAAAAAATTTAAGGTTAAGCATTATTATTTAACATCTTACCATCTACAAACAAATAGTTTGATAAAAAGATTTAATAAAACTCTTTGTAAGTCTATATCAAAATTAGTGATTAATGTATATAAATAAAACATTTTAATTCTATCAACTCTCTTTGCATACTGCACAACTAAACAAGCCACTACTAAGATAACTCTCTTTTATCTTGTTTATAGAAGAGAAACTTGTCTTCTAATTCATTCAAATGAATTAGAAAAAATGTTAAAAGAATCTTTTTATAAAGATTATTTAATTTAGTTAATGTATTGTTATATTCTAGAACAACTGCAATGAAAAAGATTAAATAAATATAAAAAATTATCAAAAAAAAATATAATTAACAACTTCATTCTATAGATAATCTAAAAAAAAAGATGTTATATTAGTTTATAAGTTTTTATAAGCATATTTGAAAAGGCATAAACTCTATCTCAAATGAAAAAAACCCTTCATTATATATTAAATTTAGAAGAAAAAAGTATATAAATTTCATATTATTAATAATAAAGTAATCAAAACATCTATAAATAGAAAATTAATTAAAAGGTATTATAACTTATAGTTTAAAATTGAAGCCAGATCTGTGGTTCAATAATGAAGTAGTTACACTCCTAGGTCACCAATTGCAAGATTGCCAGTTCAAGTTCAATAAAGAACAAAAAATTGAGTTAGGACCATAATTGTTAATTAATCACATCTGATGGTGCATTATGAAAATAGGAATATCTTTGATACTCAGATTCTTAAATGGTGATGGACCTGATATAAGAAAGCTGCAATAATTAGAAGGCTGAGGATAATAATAAAACAAAAAAATTCCTAATTAAAAATAATTTTAGTGAAATTCTAAGGTAATAGGAACATAAAATCAATATATAGATAGTACTATAAAAATGTATATAAATAAATATAAAATGCAAAATATAGATGAGATTCTAATAGAAGGTCCTATAAACTTAAAAAATTTGAACTAATAAAATAACTGCCAGCTGTGGTCTACTAGTAACCATACAGTGGAAAATTAAAAAAAAAATAAATAAAAAATTGAAGCCATTGTATATCTGCAAAACCAAACAACATAATCTGAAAAAAAAATTTTTTTTTATTAATATTAAATCAATATCTTATGTTTGGGATGTATAAAATAAGAGTGGGTAAATGTTATGAGCTAAAGTTGTATTTCTGAAATTAGATCATTAATTATATTACAGTATAACTGATTTTGAACCTAAGTTGATGATTATAAAGATAGTTCAAGAAAGTTTTTTTTTTTTATTATATAATATCAAGTAGAAAAATTAATAATATATGAGTATATTAATTAAATATAAATATATAAGTAGAAATTATTTCTAAAACTACACTATTGTTGCTATATGTTAATGACATCTAGTATGATATTATCCTTTAATTATTTGTATTAGTTAAATCAACTATTGTAATCATTAACTACAGAGAAGAGTAAAAGAAGCCCTTGAGATTATTTAAATTAATAAAAACAGTTATATATAGTAAAGTTTTAAATAAGAGTTTTAAGAATAAAAGGATCTATATTAGTATTAAATATAAAGCTAGTGTTAGAAGAGTTTAAAGATTGTAAAATAGGTAATCGAATATTGTTTTTCTTTTTTGTTGAGCCAGTAATTCCTCATGCTAATTCCTATTTATATTGTTTAGTATTTCAGGTTTGCTAAATAGTAGAGTTAAACCATTTGAGTAGAAAGTTAGATAGAAGGATAAAAAAGTTGTTAGTTAGTTTTTTAGACTAGGTTTCAGTTGTTTGTATTGATCAAAAGTTATTGTTTTCTGAATAAATAAGAGTATTGTATTATATATAGTAGAGTTAGAGAGAGGACTTTGTAGATTTAAGGATTCTATTATTGTATGTGGTGAGGTTTCTGAAAGGTTTAATGAGTTTAATGTATTAGAAATTTGATTAATAAAAATGTTTTGTGAGTTGTAAGAGTGAAGTAAACATTGTAAAAGATGTGTAGTATTTTCATATTTGTTGCAAATTGAACAATTTAAGGTTAAATAAAGGAGGGGATAGTGAATGTTTAAATTTGATATTGTTGATAAGTTATTAAGAAGTATTTTATTCCTAATAAAATATAGTTTAGGATTAGAGTTTTGGGAGTTGATAATTTCTGTAAGAAGTTGGATGTTTATTGTAGAGAGATTTCATAATAGTTTAAGTTGTAGAAGTTTGTTGAATGTTTGAATAGAAAGTAAGTTTTTACAGAATTTTTGTAGTTTGTATGTAATTGGTATTTCTTTTTAAGTAAAAAAGATAGGTAGATAGAGGTAGTCAAGATTGATTTTTAGTTCAGTTTTACAAGCACACTGTTTAGCTAAAGCATTGGCTATATTATGTAGAGTGTTGTTTGAGTGTAATTTAACTTTATGAGTAGTATAATTAATGTTTTCATGTTTGATTAAGTAATTTAGGATATGAATTATATCCCAGTTATTTTGTTTAGTTTGGGAATTTTGGTTGTAAGATATTGTATTTGTAAGGATTCGAATAGTAGATAAACTATCAAGATGAATATGAATTTGGTAATTAGTAGGTGGGATGAGAAATAAAGAAATAAGTGCTGCTAGTTTTGCTTATGTAGAGTTAGGTACATGAGTTATAAAGACATTAAATTTGATTTGTGTATCATTTTTGAGGATCCAGGCAATGCCTGTAGATATGTTATGTATTTGTAAATTAAGTATGAAGGTATCAGTATAAAAATGTAAATTAGTTGAATCAAGAAGTAGTATTTTTTGGTAAAGGTTTATGAGTTGGTTTTGATATATGGAGTTTGGTATTATGTTTTGTATTTGGATGATTTCTAGAAAAGATAATAAAAAAGATGGTAAGAGCTGTGGAGTAGGTTTATATAACTCTGCATAAATATTTTGAAGTGCTTAGATTTCTTGATTATTTATATTAAGTTCAAAATATAGTATTCTTTTTTGAGTTTTGCATTTTAGATTGATCATTTGGTTGTAGTTTATTTGAAGCACTGTAGATATAGAAAAGATATAAATGTATTGGTTATTAAATTAATAATTTGATATTTTTGAAAAAGAATTTGGGAGTTAGATATATTTGTTATTTTGCCAATATGCCAATTAGATGATAAGGTATAAAGTGTCTATATGCTTTTAGAACTATTAAATTGAGGTGTAATAAGGTTAAGTGTATTTAGAAATAGGTTGATAGATTGAAGTTGAAGATTAGGCCATATTTGCAAGATAGGAAAAGTAAAGATTTGATTTAAGAGTATTTTAAACCAGCTTGGAATAGAACCTTGAGAAAATTTGAGAGTTCTAAGATATATGTTTTTCTAGAGAAGTAAGTAAAGATTATTAGCTATAAGTAATTATTCAAAAAAGAGAATTTTGTTATTTTTTAGACTTAAGGTTGTTGAGTTATTTGAATATGTAATAAAGTTGTAAATATTGTTTAATTGATTAGTTTGTTTGTAGGATGTTAATTGATTTAAGTAAGTGTTATTAATGAAAATATTATTTTTGTATAAGTGATAGAGTTGAGATATTATAGTAAAATTAATAGTTTTTCTATGATTTTTTAGGATTGTATTTTAAGTTAAAGATGGTCTTCATATTTTTGAAAGCCATTCTTTAATACGATGTATAGAGATTTGATTCAAAATTATGTTATTATTAAAGCATCTTTTTATGTTACTACTGCAAGTTTGTAATATGAGTTTGTTAAATGTTAGAATATTGAGTAGTTGTGGATTAGTGAGAATGTCATTATTTGTATTGATAGATAAATAAAGCATATATTTGGTACATTTTGTTAGAAGCCTAGATAGTTGTTGAAGTTTGTTTTGTGAAAAAGAACATATTTGGAATAGATATTCTATTGATGGTGATAAAATAGTATTGAATAGACAGGATATTTGTATAGGAAGAAGTTTTTTGCATTGGATAGTATGAATAAATTGGAAGGTTTTGTCAAAAATTTTATCAAGTGTTGGTTTAGTTGATCCTTTTCCATCTAGAAAAATTTCTAAGTATTTAATTATTTTATTAGATTTTCTAGGTGTAATTGATTAGTTATTGAAGATGAGAAGTGTTGTATCTGGTACTGTATTAGATAATATTTTTTTTATTAAATATAATGTGAATAAGGTCTAATTTGGATGAATTTACTTAAATATTATTTAGTTGGTAGAGTTCAGATATGTCATTTAAAATATCTTAAAGATCATTTTTAGATTTATAGTACCAAAATGTGTCATCCATAATGGTAAGAGATGGTATTGTTGTTTGCATTAATGCAGTTGAAAAGATTGTGTCAAGGAGGAATTGTGATGAGATTTTGAGAAGTTTTAAATTGTATTTTGAATTTATGTAGTTAAGAATAGAATCATAATAAATTTTCCAGAGTAATAGTGAATAAGTTTCTCCTTGTTCAATGCTAGAATATAGTATAATTAGATTTGTAAGACCATAGGCTGTGATTGCTCTAGTCTTTCTGTCTTGGTGTAAAGATTTGATAAAATTTAGACCTGATTTAGAAATACCAATATGTTTACAAGAATCTAACAATTATTTGATATTGATTTTGTTGAAAGCCTTAGACATATTTTGAAAGAGTATCCAGGATTCTTTATGATTAGTTTTATAATGTTCAATTGTATTAAATAGTATTTGTATAGGAATGTGGGTAGAGCTGTTTCTAGTTGCTGCAAAATTTAAATCACTTAGTAGATGGTGTTGGTTTATAATTTGGTCAAGACGTGTTGTAAAGATTTTAGTAAGATATTTTTTAATGGGTTTGATAAATAAGATAGGTCTAATTTGATTTAATGTGAAATCCCATAAGAATTTCTTTGGGATTAAAAATATGTTGAATGTTTTCTATATTGTTGGTATTTGTTGTAGTAAGAGGAATTTTATTAGAAAAAGTTGAATAATGTTTTGGGTTTTAAAGTTTAAGTATTTTAGATATTCATAATTGGTTTCAGATAGACCAACAGCTTTTTAGTTTAGAAGATCATGTATGACTTGGTTTTATTCTTCTGAAATAATTTCTGAAAATAGGTTAACAAAGAGAGATTCATGTTCTGAATGAGGTTTGTAAAGTTCATAGAATTTTGTGTTTTCTTGAATTGGACTATATAGTAGTTTTTAAAATAGTTTTGAAAATGGAATTGTAGGACTTATTTTATTTCAATTAGTTGAGTAGTAAGTGTATTGTTAGATAAAAAACAGTTTAAATTGATACTATTATTGTGTTTTTTTAAAACATTTTAGAAGAATATTTTAGAATTTTAGTAAAAATTGTTGTTTCTTTCTTCTAGTTTATTTTGAATTTTCTTAAGAATATTTTCTTGTTTTTCTTTATGAATTTTAGTTTTAAGAGTTTTAATTTTGGTAATAAAGAGAATAAAAGAGATGGTAAAATCAAAATTGTTATTTGCTAGTGTTGGGTATAAGGGTGGGAATAGAGTGTTTTGTATATATTTATTTATATATAAGTTGTAAGTTTCTATAAAATTAGATTTGTTAAGACTTCTTTTAAATAGAATTGCTTGTTTAAGTTATTTATAGAGTAATAAAAGAGAGGGTAATTGCTGTTCAGTATAATATAAATTTGATTTAATTATTTTGAATAAAATATGTTTTTGAGTTGTTTTGATTAGGATTTTGTTAATTTGATTTCATATATTATTAAGTTCAGAACTGTGATTTATATTGGTAATAGGTATAAGAAGTAGTTTAAGGTTTTGTTCAATATAGTTTTAGTAGTTTTTAATTTGTTCTTTTTTGATAAGTTTTCATTGATAGATAGTTCTTATTTAATAAAATTATGTATTAATTTTAGCAATATCAAATGTAAGTTCTAGTGATATTATTAAGTGATCAGTTAAGATAAATGGGTTAGGTAGAATATCAATATAGTCTAAGAGTATAATATGAACATTAGTTCATATTTGATCAATTCTACTATGACTGTTATTGTGTATATAAGAAAATATGGAAGTTAATAAAAAAAAGAATCTATAGATATCATAAAATTGAAGAGATTTAAGAAGTTTTAAGAATGAATGTTCAGGTGTATTTGAGTTTTTTTGTAGTAGTCTATCTAATTTGGGATTAGGAACTTCATTTAAGTCTCCTATTAGAATTATTTTGTAGTTAGTTTTGCTAAGAATATGAATAAGATATAGAAGAATATCTTTTCTAAGTTGTTTTTTTTCTTGAATTGAAAAGTAAAGTTGAATTAGTTTAATATAAAGATTTTTAAGAAAAATATCAATTTTTAAGAAAAAGTTTTTATAAGTTTGAATTTTTCTGATATGTTTAGCAAATAATTTGTAAATTAATATTCCTATATTACTCTAATAAGCATTGCTAGATATTCAGAAACATTTATGATTTATAAGTTTTTATAAAAGAGTTGAAAATTTTGTCTTTTTGTTAAATAGATGTGTTTCAGAAATTTTAATTTGGTTTTTTGAAATATAGTTAATTAAACTTAATTGTTTAAAGTTGTCTAGAAGGTCATTGATATTAAGTAAATATATTTTAATTGATTTTATCATATTGGAGTTATTTAAAAATAGAATTTTGTTATTTGTATATGTTGTAGAAATAGATAGTTCAAAGCCAGGGGATATAGTAGTTAAGAGAAGATTTTAACATTCTGAGAATGATGATATGTTGAATTTTGTTGAAAAAAAATTAGGTTTAAGTACAATATTTTAATAATTTAAAAGATTTCTGAAAGGAATAAGTATAAAATTAGATAAGAAATTGATTTCTTGAGGAAGGTAGATATGAGCTTCATGTGAATTATTATTAGATATTTTGATAAAAATTTTTATATGTTGTTCTGAATAGTATTCTGGATGTTCATTTTGGACAAATTTTAAAAAAGAACCAATTGATTGTGACAAGAGTAGAAATTATAAGTTGTAAAATGCAAGAAATTTGTTAAAATAAGTAGAGGGATTGTATAATTTGAGTATATCAGAGGTTTTGATATAAACTTTCCCTTTAATAATATTGATTAGTTCAAGAAAGTTAGTTATGCATATAATCTACAAGACTTAAAGATTATCAAGAGAAGGTTTTAATGATAGTGATGATTGGAACAAGTGAAAGAAGATTCAAGAAAGAATTAAGGTAGAGAAAAACTTGAAAGCAAAATAAAAAAGATTTATAGAATGAACAAAAGAATAAGAAATTTAGTAAGAATAATGATAAGGAAAATCAAAACCATCCTGTTTTTTTTAATATATAAAAAGAGGGGTAAAAACCATTAATTCCTACCATTAAATTATCAAATAAATTCACTCTGTATCTTTTGGTTGTAATAAAACTTTAATTTATAATTTAAATCACTATTGTCACGCCTCTGGCGAATTGCCTTAACAAATAAAGTTTATATCTGTATCATCTGTATCGGATTGTAATACTTCGAAACATAACATTAGCAATAATTCAGGTTTAAATAGTTTAAATTTTTTCTAATGATTAGTTTCTAGACCCTAACAAGTCTTGTTTAAATTAAAACTAAAAATTCTAATAGTTTATAGTTTTTAAACAAATTTGGTAAGTTTATCAAAACCAAATAAATGAATACTATATATAAAAATGAAACGAAAACCCAATTTTAAGGGCCGCATTCTTTTCAAATTTATTACAACTTTCGGTTTAAATATAAAAATCAAAAAGTACATGCATTATTAGACTATGGTACTTTATGTCTCGTGAACACAGTTTCTTTTTAAGAAACCCTAAAAACAACATTCAAAAAGGGCCTATCGTTGCATTCACTATGAAAAATGAGCCAATCATATGCATGTTGATCGCTCAAATTTCATAAAAACTTTACTCTTGTGATCTGCATTGTCTGATGCCAAGGAACGACCCTAGCATGACCACCAAGATCAGTTACGTAATCTGTATTTAAAATTTTGATTAACGAATTCTGACGATTTTAATATCGAGTACATAACCAAATAAAAAATGATTCAATAAAAAATTCCGAATTTTGTCAAAAAAAGCGAAATTCCAAGTTAAATAATATTTTATCCTATTAATATAAACTTTGATTTCCTGGTATGAAAAAAATGTTCAACATAATTCTTTATTTAGGCAATAAATGTACTTTATTTCTTCTATTAAATGTTTTTGGAAGACTTTTCGCATGCTTTTATCATTTATCATTTTTTAAACCAATATTTGTTAAAGGTTTTTTTGTTTATTATAATCAAAAGACTTTCAAGATTATGTGTATATTCAATAACCTCTATATGAACAAAGTGCAATCAATATACTGTATATTATACGTTGTAAAGGGTCTTTTTTATATTTTTCTGCAATTTCTAGTCTTAGCACTTCATCGTCCACTTCATCTATATTATTATATTCAGAAATAGTTGAATTCGTATTCAAATAATCAATTGGTATAATAAGAAAATAATCGAATTTCATTGAATCTAAGCTATTAGAATTTTAATTATGGGCATAATAAATGAATATACCTTCGAAGAAATAAACATCCATTTTCCAAGAGGATTAATAAAAAAAATGCTTATTAAAAAATAAGAATAAAAAAAAAATGCACTGCTTATTATCTATTGACATTTTTCTGTGTTTTTGATAGTATGTGTATTAGATTTCCCACTTTTTTAAAAAATTATCACGCCCTGCGTTCCCTGAATTATGCTCTTTTAACTGTTTAATACAGAATCTTTTTATTGTTGATTTTTGATGTATAACAAAAAAAAATTTTCTTTGATATTTAGATATGGAAAAAAGAAAATCAAAGTTTCTTTTTTTCAGATTATTTACGTATTAATATATGATACAGAAATCGTCATATTAATCGTTGAAACTCCGTACGTAACTGATCTTGGTGGTCGTGCTAGGTTCGTGGATACCAAGGTACAGTTGGCTCCAAAAGTTTACCGCGGTTACACAAAAACAACAAATTTATGTAACTTCCGGTATAGAAAACCTTCGATATAAGCTCTTAGCATAAGAAAGTTTTTACCAGTTTCAGTTAAAAATTTGTTTTTTATACGTATAAGAAAGTTTGATATAAGACGGATTTTGGCTGACATTTTTTATATCAAGAGTCATTAATATTTTGTATATTATTTTTGTGTAACCGTGATAAACTTTTGGAGGGGATGGCTAAAGCGGAGCAGAATCACGTGATAAATTTTTATTGGCCAGGTGAAACAATGATCGTAATTGGCTAGATCTTGTTGATTTGTCAGCCAAATAACTTGCATTGCTTTAACTTTTGTACTGCCACGGCTTACTTTACCTTAATCACTTTTGCGGTCTTGTTTGACCTAACTTTTTGCGGGCGAAGCTTTTTTTTTTGACTTTCTTTGAACTAGCTGTTTTTTTTTCGTACAGCATATTTTTTTTTTTTTTTTTTTTTTTTAACACTGAAAAAACCAAAAACCAAAAATCAAAACCTTTAGAACGATATATTGTAAGATCTTGATACACCAATTCCCTCATCATAACAAAGACCAATATCATTCATCGCAGTCTGATTTCCTAATTCAGCCGTTTTCATATAATATTCAAAAGCCTTCTTTTCGTCTTTATTAACACCAATTCTACGTTGATAATCGTAACCAAGATTGTGAAGTTTTTCAGAGATCTTGGGACGAGATATTTGGATATACCGATTTTTTTTTATTCTTCCTTTTTTTTTTTTTTTTTTATCTTTTTTTTTTTTTTTTTTACCTATATATACAATTGGCGGGCAAATATGAACTTGACTTGTACTGTATCTGCTGCTGCGTCAATAATAGATTTAACAGATCTTGCTCCAGATGAAAGACGAGGCCTTCTTTTTGACGTAAATATGCCTTTGGAGATTCCGATAGACGATTTTAATGATACCTGGTGGCCCTTAGTTTCTAATATATGGACTCAATGGAATTCATATAAAGGTGTAAATGGTGATGTCTCGAAAGTTTTCGCCTGCCGATTTACTAAGCACCGGGATTCAAGTGGCCGCCAAAAAGAAAATATTCCAAATGAAAAACGCAGAATGACGAAATCACGATCGTCGGGACTGTGTGAGGCGAAGATAAAGGTTTCCTGGCTGGTTTCATCAAACAAGGTTAAGGTTGAACGCTATAAAGACTCACCAAATCATTCACATTCTTTGAAGGAAGGTGATAGAATAAAACGCTCTAAAGCAATAAGAACACTTGTAGAACAAGAAGCGGTTAAAAACTATTCGCCTCCGGCGATAACTGCTGCCATTAAAGAGTATGCGACGATTAAGCTAGGTGTTGGATCTGGCGTGCGTGAATTAAAACAGAAGGAAGTAGCAAATATTAAGTACAAGGTTTGTGGGCCCGCTGAAGCGCACCTTGTTGGTGATCCTAATATAAAAATAGACATTTCAAATTCTGTATCATACTTAAAAGAGCAGGGGTATCAAGTTGAGGACAATCGTGTTCCTGAACGAAACACCAAAGGCATTGTTTTTGCGCATCCCGCGCAGTTAAAGAAACTTCAGCATCATGGGTAGTTGACACTTATCGATTCCACCCATAAGACAAATAGATACGATTGGCGCCTTTTTACACTATACGTCCATGATACTTATGGCTGTTGGGATGTAGGGCGCACTTTTATGTTAGTACCGAAGATAGTGACACTGTTGGGAAAGCATTGTGTTTAATTCGTGGTAGGTTTTGTCTCTGGTTTCCCCGATATATACTTTCTGATCAAAGTAGTATTGAGGCAAAAGCTGTTAAAAAAGCATTTCCTGGTACAAGTGCTGGTGAACAAGAATGTGAAGTAATCCTTTGCGTCGTCCATGTCATGAGGGTTTGGCTAACAAAAATTTATGAAAAAGGACCTCGAGATATTATGATTGCGACAATGCACAAAAGGACAAAAATTGGTTGCGAAAACCTTGTCCAAGATGCCATTAAATGTAGTACTGTTCCAGCCATCTGAAGATATATCGAAAGGAATTACAAAAAAAATACTCAGCAGTGGGGTTTGTGGGCACGCCAACATTCCCCCCTGCTCTACAAGTTACCTCTACAAACCCATTAGAGTCTTACCACAGTGAGTTGAAAAGGGCAACGTCTTCATTTTATGGTTTAATAGGTATAGTACTTGATAATTACAATAGACTATTTTTAAAAAAAGTGTGCAAAATTTTGAAATAGTATTAAAAATTTCTATATTATTTTAGGTGCAATGCACCATACTGTTGCTCTGGATAATAAAAAGCGATCTGATTCTGAAGCCATCGCTTTCGACTTTCGTATTAAGAAGATATCCGCATATGGCGTGGCGAGTAATGTTCTTGAGGAAATTCACAAGTTTCCTTACCCTTTTCAACAATTATTAGTGAAGGAAGCCTGCTCTGTAATGAGTAGACTTGAAAAAGGAAAAAATGCTCTGGGTTTAACTTCGCTTGATTGCCACTGCCTATTTTACAATCGGTACTTGTTACCTTGTAGACATATTTTCCATGAACATACATATGGTGCCACAAAATTACTGACCATCAATATATGGAGAACATTTCAGGGGATGTTTGAGGAAAGTGGATATGAAGTTTACGAACGTCGTGAATTAGTGATTGAAGAAATTGCAAAAACTGAACAACAAAAAAAAGAAGAAAGTTTGAAACTTGCCGTGAATGAACTAAATGAAAGGGTACAAGACAAATATTGGCATACTGTTTCAAGTGGAAATATTGGGAGGACGGAGGCTTTTGTTTCGATGTTAGAAGCCTCCATAGATTCTTTTTTCTTACAATTCGACCATTTAAGTATAAATAATTAAAAGAATTGTTAGCTGGGTGGGCGAAGCAGTCCTATGGGCCAAAACAATAAATAAAAAAAAAATAAAATATTAGTACCAGCTGGGTGGGCAGGCGGGTGAAGCAGCCCTATGGGCTAGAACGATGAACGAATATGGGTCGGCGAAGCGGTCCCGTGGGGCCAAGGTGATAAATAGACGGATCTATATAGAACAAATAAAAAATAAATGAAGCATTTTAAGTCAAAAGGGTGAATAAGGAAATAATATAAATAATTAAAGCTTACCTGCGTGTATTCAATTCTTATAAAGTTCAACAATTCATTAATGATTTTGCATTTTAATGAAAATGTAAATAATAAATAATTTAAGAAATATATAGTATGTGATTGCTGAGATGTCTTCGGCATAGCATCAATTTAGTTAAAACTTTGAATGAAGATATCTCAGCAACTACCTAATAGAATCCGAACTTTAATTCTAATAATCAGTAGAATTGAAATAAAAAAAATTCTATTGAAATATATTAGGTGGTTGCTGAGATATCTTCGTTCAAAGTTCAAAATTTGGCGCAGCATCGTTTTAGTTGGATGTTAAAACTTCAAGCGAAGATCACCAATCACATAATAGAATTCAATGAATTTTTTTTTTATTTTAATTCTACTGATTCATAGAATTAAAATAAAAAAATTTTTATTGAATTCTATTAGGTGATTACTGAGATATCTTCGTTCAAAGTTCAAAATAATTTCAGCGCAGCTTCTATTCAGTTAGGCTTTTGAAACTTTGAACGAAGATATCTCAGCAACCAACTGATATAATCCAATGAAAATTTTCTAATCTTAATTTTAAGAATTAGTAGAATTGAAATAAAAAAAAATTACATCAGTATCTATTAGGTGGTTGCTGAGATATCTTCGTTCAAAGTTCTAAAAAATTTGGCGCAGCATCGATTTAGTTGGATGTTTAAAACTTTGAATGAAGATATCTCAGCAACCACTTAATAGAATTCAATGATTTTTTTTTTTATTAATTCTACTGATTCATAGGATTAAAATAAAAAAAGTTTTATCAAATTCTATTAGATGGTTACTGAGCTATCTTTGTTCAAAGTTCAAAATAATTTCTGCGCAGCTTCTATTCAGTTAGACTTTTGAAACTTTGAACGAAGTTATCTCAGTGACCACTTAATAGAATCCGATAAAACTTTTTCATTTTAATTCTAATAACCAGTAAGATTGAAATAAAAAAAATTCATTTAATTCTATTAGGTAGTTGCTGAGATATCTTTGTTCAAAGTTTTAAACATCCAACTAAATCGATGCTGCGTCAAATTTTTTTGAACTTTGAACAAAGATATCTCAGCAACCACATGATAGAATTAAATGAATTTTTTTTTATTTTAATTCTACTGATTCATAGAACTAAAATAAAAAAAAATTTCATCGAATTCTTTTAGGTGGTTGCTGAGATATCTTCATTCAAAGTTCAAAATAATTTTGGCGCAACTTCTATTCACTTAGACGTTTGAAATTTTGAACGAAGATATCTCAGCAACCAACTAATATAATCCAATGAAAATTTTCTAATCTTAATTTTAAGAATTAGTAGAATTGAAATAAAAAAAATTACATTGAAATCTATTAGGTGGTTGCTGAGATATCTTCGTTCAAAGTTCAAAAAAATTTGACGCAACATCGATTTAGTTGGATGTTTAAAACTTTGAACGAAGATATCTCAGCAACCACATAATAGAATTCAATGATTGTTTTTTTTTATTAATTCTACTGATTCATAGGATTAAAATAAAAAAATTTTTATTGAATTCTATTAGGTGGTTACTGAGATATCTTCGTTCAAAGTTCAAAATAATTTCTGCGCAGCTTCTATTCAGTTAGACTTTTGAAACTTTGAACGAAGTTATCTCAGCGACCACTTAATAGAATCTGATAAAACTTTTTCATTTTAATTCTAATAACCAGTAAGATTGAAATAAAAAAAATTTCTTTAATTCTATTAGGTGGTTGCTGAGATATCTTCGTTCAAAGTTTTAAACATCCAACTAAATCGATGCTGCACCAAATTTTTTTGAACTTTGAACGAAGATATCTCAGCAACCACATAATAGAATTAAATGAATTTTTTTTATTTTAATTTTACTGATTCATAGAACTAAAATAAAAAAAATTTTATCGAATTCTTTTAAGTGGTTGCTGAGATATCTTCATTCAAAGTTCAAAATAATTTTGGCGCAGCTTCTATTCAGGCAGACGTTTGAAATTTTGAACGAAGATATCTCAGTAACCAACTGATATAATCCAATGAAAATTTCTAATCTTAATTTTAAGAATTAGTAGAATTGAAATAAAAAAAATTACATTGAAATCTATTAGGTGGTTGCTGAG